GGAACATGAGGCAGAGACCTGAAGACTCAAAAATGACCCACGCAGCCTTTTCACGGAGACAAGCCAGTTTCTACCCAACACCCTCTGAAGAATGCAAACGATCTGTTCAGGATTGAACTACTGTACCCTCGTATGTAAATTATTCATTACTCTCCTCCTTTTGCACATTTTGCCCTCCATTTTCTCTGTCTACTCTCTGCTTTCACTTTACCAGTTTTTCTGTAAGCTATCTCAATTGCCTGTGCTCTGCTATTTCCAGAAAATTAAAAAGGAAACCGGATTCATTAGCCAAATAACTGAATCATAGATTTATTTTCCACATATCAATTGAGTAGGGCAAAAAGCTGCCCTGTGATGTCTTCGATAATCAGCTTTTTACAATACAGTTGTCTAAATTACTCTGTTTTAAATTTTTTAACTACTTGGTCTAACTAACTGTCTTTGATTACCGTACTAGAACATTGCTCAAAAGCTTGGAATGCCATGAAAAACCATTTCTGTAAGCAGTGCTTCCATATGAACAGCAGGGGGCAATAGCACACCAAGAATTGTGGAAATTGTCCCAAGCCCTAAGAAACACTGTTGAATTGCTGCACTGATGGTACAGCCCTACGATGATCTCAGCTCTCTAATGAAGTCTTTTGTTTTGTGTCCTATTTTACAATGCACTGTTCAGTTTTCTATATGAGCTGTGACTTAGACAGCATTTCACTGTGACAGTTTAGCTTGGGGAAAAAAAAAAGAAAGGGGAAGGAGAAAACTAAAATGGTGACAAGTGAAACAAGACAAGGATGAAATGATTGTATATGCACTTAAAGTTTGTCCCTTCTCTGTTCCCATCCACTTGAATCCTGAACACTGGTTTTCTGGATTATAGACATAATTCTCCATTATCCCTCACCCCACACTCACATCCATTTCATTTTACCTTCTGTTGCATACAGTTTTCTGTTAAAACTGATTTCCTAAAAAAAAGAAGAAAAAAAAACTGACATACTTGACTTTTTAAAGGAATTCAAAAAAATTATATGTCATGTTCTGGCCTTNAAAAGAAGAAAAAAAACTGACATACTTGACTTTTTAAAGGAATTCAAAAAAATTATATGTCATGTTCTGGCCTTTAGTCAAGTTTCCCAGGATAGAATTTTAATGTATTTATGCTTTCTTAGTATTTTTTTAGTCAAGATACACTTCACTGATATGTTTCAATAAAAATTCTTCCCCTGTAAACTTGCACTTTCAGATAAATAGCAAAAAGCTGTAGCTGTGAAGTTATATCTGATGTGTTTGGTGATAGAATATAAAGTAGAAACTGAAACATCAGATTTAAAAATTACATTCAAAGATCATCTCCATTGCACTTGGAAGATGCTTAGTAATTTAGTCCTCAAAGTCAGCAGAGATCAAACTACTTTCATACATAATTTGAGTTGTACCTCAAAATATAACACCCATAAAGCCTGGCTTCCTTTCCTACTTAGGCTGGAATTCCCAGAGTTATTGATGTATTACCATCGAGTTATTGATTCATGACTGGGGTGGCAGAAGTAATATTATCTTAAGATCTGGCAGAAGTAATATTATCTTAAGATCTGGCACCAAAATTCCTCTTGAAGGAATAGTCTTATTCCCTCTTGTACTCACAGGGCCCACATGATCTTCCTGACCCTGTCCCCTACCGCATCTCCTCTGGCCTGCTCTCTATTATCCTCCCGTAGACTCTATTCTAGTCACACCAGCCATCTTGCTCTTAGCTAAACACCAGGTAGTCTGGTGCCTCAGGGCCTTTGCCCCAGTTGTTCTTTCCTGTCAGGATAAATCTTACCTCACTTATCCAAGTGACTCATTCCTTCACCTACTTCAGGAGTCTGTGCCAAAGTCACCTTCTCAGTGAGGCCTTCCCTGATCACCTATTTAAAATGGAATAATCCCCTCACCTTCCTCCTTTATTGTCCTCAATAGCACTTAACATCATCAAATATGCTATAAATTACATCTGTAAATATAATATGAGATGAGATATGTGAGACCAAACATATCAACCAGTAAAGGGCTTAACCCCACTATGAAAAGGATAAAGAAATTGATTCCAAAGCAAACCCCAACTCTATCTTGCATCTAAAAGACAGTCATACCTAAAACAAAATAATTCAGAAATGCTAAAATAAAAAAAAAGGATGGGCAAAGGTATAGCAAGAAAATGAAAAGAAAAAGAAAAAGAAATTCAGATTTTGAGATCCAGTTAAATAGAATTTAGACCAAAAACCATTACCACGACAAAAAGCACCTTACATTGCTAAAGGCTACAGCTCACAGTGAAAATAAAATATTTATGAAAGATATGCAGCAAATAACACAGTAGTTTCTTTCATACAGCAGGAACAATACGAGATTCAAAGAGAATAGAAATTATAAATAATAGCAGATGTTAGTATACTCTTAGCCTAAAACAAAAAAATTGTACAAAAAATAAGTATAATTACTTTATATTTTATAGAGAGAGACATGTATGCCTCAATAAAGAAAGCCACAAATAATATTCTTTATCACCAATATGACAAAAGAAGGAATCCATAACAAGACAAAAGAAAGCCTTCCCACCTTGAAGTTTTAAATATTTCTATTAAGCATAGCTTGGCTTAAGGGGAAATACCAACTGATATTGAAAACGTCTAGGAAAAAAAATGAAAACATGACATCAGTGTCTATGAGATACCTCTAAAGAGTGCTCAGAATAAAATTCATAGATTTAAATATACCAATAAAAATGAGACAAATGAGTCAGACATTACACTCAAAAAGTTAGAAATATTTAAGGCTTGCTTCCCCACCCCCACCCCATTTTGGACTTAATTTTCTTTTTAATTAAGCAACCTAGATTTGATAAGAATCTGAACCATAAATACTGGCTGTATTAAACTGTATTTAGCACTTTCACATTTATATATTGGTACTATTATTTTGAATCTATAATATATATAATGGAAAAAAGTAAATAAGCAATTATGTTAATATTATTAGGAACCATGCTTTTCAGTAGAAAAGAGATGCAAATAAAATCAAGTAAGTTAAAAATTCTATAATCTTTCATTAAAATTGGAGTATCATCACAAATCTGTTTTATTTTTATCTTTCTTCTAAAAATTACATATTTCCTAGATCTTGTATTGAAAAGTCTGAGAAGTAATGACAAGCCATTTAGCCACAACATCCTTAAGGGCATAGATTGTGGTCATCAAATACTGTTTTCACTGAAAGCAATGAGGACTCCTTTGAGAAACGGCTGATTCTACGTCTGGAGCAGTAAATGAGACTGCTTGAAGATGAGATTGGGACTCTTAAAGTGTCAGAAAGCAAGAAAGCTATCAAGACATTTGAGATTGTCAAATGAACATAGAAACCAAAGATGGGCAATTTGAGCTTTAAAATGAATAATCACTGCAATTACATAAAAGTGTAGAGAATTATTCTATTACATAAAAATAGAATCAATAAAAAACTCCTAGCAGCAATAGGAGATTCAATATGGTAGAAAGATACAAAATTACATGTAAAAATCAGAATCTTCTGGTTTTTAAACAACCAGCAGTTACAGGGAAATATAGAAGAGCTGACCCCATTTACATTACCCACAAAAAAGAAAAATACCCCAGGAATAAACGAGAAACGGTCAAACCTATATAAGAAAAGTTTTTAAAGCTTTTTTTAAAGACATAAAACTGGGACTTGAATAAAAGGAAAAATAAACCTTGCTCTTCAATAGAATAATGTAAAATTGTTAACTGACATCAATTTTTAAAGTATTTTTATATAGCTAGATTCTATTAAAAAAAGAGCAAGAATAAAAAAAAAACACAGGTAAAAACAAAATAAGGCCCAGCAATGAGATGGGCATAGTCCTAACTAGATATTGGAATAGACTACGGCTTCAGTAATTAGTACAGAATATTAGCACATGAGTAGATAATCAGATAGATATTAAAATAGAATAGGAATAGATCCAAGTACAATATGAAAATTTATGTATGTGATAAAAGTGGTACCACAAATTACTGGAAGAAAAATGTACTTTTTTAAATTAGATATTGTTGAAACGGCTAAATAATCCTTTGAAAATAGAGAAAACTGGATATAACATCACCTCGGTGGAATTACAGACAAAACAAAACAACAAAAACTCAACGTGGTTCCTTGAAATGAGGAACCAACCTGAGTTTCCGAATTGAAGGATATTCTGCAAAACCACTGGCCTGAAATTTCCAAAAATGTCAATGCCGTAAGATAAAAAAATAAACAGAAAATGCTGGGGAATTGTGTTCTAAATCAAATAAAACCATAGGGATTTGGTAACTAAATGCACTCTGTGACGTTTGTTAAATCCTGGTTGTATAGGATACAAACAACAATAGGGTAAGTGGGGTGGGTGGGGTGACAACTAAGAAAATTCGAATATGAACTATTATATCTATTATAGTAATGTAACAGTGTCTACGGAATTCCAACTTCCTACGTCTTAAGACACTAATGCTAAGCTTCCTAAAGACAGTTTTGTGATCCTATAGGGCAGTACTCTTCGGGAGGCGATTTTGCCCCGCCCTTTCTCGCCCCGCCCCCAACACTCCTCCGGCGGTATCTGGACGCTGTAGGTCGTTGCCGCTGGCATCTGCTGTACAGGCCAGGAGTGCTACAAAACACTGTACAAAAGCCCAAGACAGCTGTCCTCCCACACCAACAAATAATCACCCTGACTAAAATATCAACAGCACCGAGGTTGAGAAACCCTTATTCTTAGGGGATGTATAGATATTAGGATGAAATAAATGAAATTGTCTTTTGCGCAGATCCAACACAGGTAACACTTAAGGGTGTACGGCCACGATGCTCGCAGCTAACTCATGTTCAGCAGAGCCCTGGGCGTGCGCCCGGCCCGGCTTCCCTGCTAGCTCCCCGCGGAGTGGGGCTGACCCGCCCAGCGGCGCGGTGGGCGGATCCCGTGAGGCCACTGCGCAGGCGCTGGGCGGCCAGCCGCGCCCCCGCGGGGCTGCTCCAAAGTTACAGCCGCGCTCCGACCGCGCAGTGTAGCGCTGCAGCCCGCGTACAGAAGACAGAAGAAAACTCCCGTCCTGCTGCGTTGCCTTCTCCAGGACTGAGAGAGGCTTTTCCAGTGCAAGCCCGCAGCCCTCTTCCTTTGCGATCTCCGGAGGACTGCAGCGAGCATTGTTTGTCCTTTTAGAGCCTCCTGCTTTGAGGAGCCAGTTGTGTGTGGGCCCGAAGGTCCCTGAGCATCCCCTTCCAGCTAGATTCTCGGAAAATGAGGTTTTACACTCTCTTTAGTGGATTCCGACTTCTCGACTTCCCGACTTCCCTTGTCTGATGAGCCTGGCAAGTACTCTGTCTCCTGATACCACTCATGACCAAAAGAGCCCCCGGCGCAGGCTCATTACACGCCCGGCTCCTCTCCAGCAAGCGCTTATCCAGGTAACATTTTGAAATACCTTAAAAATTTCAGCCTAGAGCCTCTTAATCAAGGAGCTGGCAGACGTTTTCTATCAAGAGCCAGAGAGCAAATGTTTTACGATTTGAGGGCCAGGAACAATGCCGCTTACTTGTCTGTTTCAACAACCTCCTAAAAATGAAAAAAAAAAAAAAAAACTCAGCTGCTGGCCTTACAAAAACAGATGGATTACACAGATTAAACTCTGACCATTTTACCCAGAGAGGAGGCTAAAGCTTTGTTTAGGACTCCGCCCGTGTTCCAGGTCTGACCAGCTATGCTGTAAGGACTTAAGTTCCTTGAGGACTATGACCTGCTAGGTTTACTGGGCTTCACCTGCCAGGCTTCGTTTAGCATATTTTGGGTCCCTACACCTTCATCTCTGCACCTCCTCCCTCCTGGGTGGCGAGTGGTGAGTCCCCAGCAGTCAGCGAAGCCATCAAGAAACCCCCAGACCAGCAGTCACACCCACCTTTATTCTAAAATGCCAATCCCTTCCTATCTGGGGGCAAAAGCCAAGTTCCTGCATTGCAAATAAATTAATATAAAGGCAATACAGGAGTATGTCAGGCAACTGTGTATTTGTAGCATTTTTTGTAGTGATAAATGTAATATATGTCCATTTTGCTAATTTGGAAAATACTAAAAAGTATATACTAGAAAATAAAAGTTCTCTATAATGCCAACCCACAAAAAATAACCATCAAAATGTTTATTTTTAGTCCTTTTTTCATTGAATACTAATAGCACAACTTACTGAACAACCTGATTTTTAAAAATATTTTCTAATAAACTTTTGTTGAAGTATAAAATAGAGAAAAGTATGCAAACAATAAATGCACAGTTCGGTAAATAAACTTTCAAAGACTAACACAGATATACCCTTGCAAAAATCACCAAAATCAAGAAATAGACCATTCCTGGAATCCTTCATCCCCTTACCCAGCAATTTCTCCCCAACTGTATCTACTGTCTTACCCTCAAATACATAGATTAGTTTTGTCTATTTTAGAATTTCACATGAAATGAATTTTTCATTAAATATTGTATATAGTATTTGGTACTTTTCACTCCATACTATAATTGAGAGTCATTTTTTAATTTTACTTAATGCTATATGGCATTCAATTTATGAATATAGCACAACTTATCCTTTATACATTATTTTTAAATAACAAATTTATTAAGATAGAATTCCCATACAATTCATTCATTTAACATGTACAATTCAGTGGTTTTTTGTACATTGGCAGATAGATGGCATCCATTGCCACAGTCAATTTAGAACATTTTCCTCACCTCACAACAACCCCACACTCTTTAGCTATCACCCCTCTAGCCCTTCCCCTCCATCCTTTCAACCCTAAGCAAGCACAAAACTACTTTCAGTCTCTATAGGTTTGTCTATTCTAGACATTTCATAAAAATGGAATCATATAATATGGAGTCTTTTATGACTGGCCCCTTATACTGATATTGGGCAATTCATGCTGTTTCCAGTTGTGGGGCTACTGTGAACATTATTACACACATCTGTGTATGTGTACATTTTTATCTGTAGATGTCTGTTTCTACTGGGATATATATCAAGGAGTGGAATATCTCAGACAAGTTATGTTTATGGTTAGCTATGGCTGATAGTGCCAAACAATGTTTCAAGTTCGCACTCCCACCAGCAGTGTATAATGAGTTGTCATTGCTCCACACCCTCACCAACATTTGGTGGTTGTGTGGTTTCAATTTACACTTCTCTGATGAAAGATGAAAGAGAACATCTTTTCATGTGATCATTAGTCATTTAAGTATAATCTTTAGCAAATGCCTTTTGAGACTTTTTCTTTTTCAGCTCTCTCTTTTTCTACTTGCTTTATATATTCTAGATGTGGGCCCATTTTCCCTTACATGTGCTGCCAAAAAAAAGAAAAAAAAAAAAAACACCTTTTCCTAGTCTGTGGCTTGCACTTTAACTATATAATTGTTAAATTTTAATGAATGTAAATTTCAAATTTTTACTGAAATTGTACCTCTGTACCCTACTTAAGAAATCATTGCCTACAAGGATCTCCTATGTTATTACCTAAAAATCATATTTTTCTTTGAACATTTAAATCAACTAACCATGTAGAATTTATTTTGGGGTAGGGTATAAAGTAAGGGTTAAATCCTTTTTCATACAGCTAACTTGACCGAAGTCCTTTTCTTGAAAAGACCGTCCTTTTCCTGCTACTCAGCATTAAAGAATCTTATTAAAATAAGATATAATAGATGAAGAGAGAATTTCAAGAGGGATACAAATAATACTGCAAAGAGAAAATGGACATCCTAAACTAAAAATACAATATCTGAAAATATGTGATAGGATTATCAGTAGACTGGACACAACAATAAAAAGGACCATTAAACTTGAACACAGGTTTCTAGAAATACTCTGAATTTAAGTACATGGGGAAAAAAATTTTCTTTTTAATAAACAAAGCATCAGTGACTGATGGAATAGCATCAGGTGGGCTTACATACATGAATTGACCTCCCAAAAGGCAAGGAGGGAGAGTATGGGGCAGAAAGGTATTTTTTTAAATATTAGCAAAAATTTCCAAATTTCATCAAAGATATTTTATCCAGGATGTTTACTTTGTTTGCAGTGGACAGTTGACTCCAATAATCTATCTTTCCATGGATGGAATTTAGAATTTGGCATAAATAATTATAAAGTTTTACATTTACATGAATTAGCAGCAGGGCATTTGAAAGACACCCAAAATGTGGGAAAATGGCTTGTTAGATGGAACTGTCCTGAACATTACTGTGCTTTTAACATAAATGTTGCCTACCCCCTAAAGGCCAGTAGTGACACCCCAATCATAGTAATGCCAAAATGCCCTCAGTTTTTCAGAATATCCCCACAGTGCCTAATAAGGCCGTGCATCCTTTAAGAACCCAGGTCTCGCATGATCTGTCATTACCTCCTTTCTCCGTGCCCTTTCTAACCTCATCTAATGCTCAAGTCTCTTAAACCACACTGTCCTCTTCCCATCTCAGAGCTTTTGGGATTGCTTTTCTCTCTTCCCCAAATGCTCCTCCCACAAATACCCAAAAGACTGCCTCTTTTCTCCTCCTTGGGTCGTTGTTCAAATGTCATTTTCTCAGTGACACCTGCAGGTCAACAAAACACAACAAAAAATGTACATATTCTTTCCCAATTCCTTGTTTAATTTTATCTATAGCCTGTATTTGAAAGGTGACTGATTTTAATTACTTAATTTGCTTATTGTCTCACTTTCCCCACCACTAGAATGTAAATTATGATGAAGGGGCAGGAGAATATACCATTTTTGTTCTCTGTAATGTCTTCGATACCTTGAATGAGTAAAAAATTATAATTGTTAATATTTTTCTTAGGACTGGCATGTGGACAACCTTAATTTATTCCTAATAACTCCCTATATCTTTCATGTATTCCTTCCATTTTTCATAAATCAGGTAACCCTGCTATTATTCCAGTAATCTACATTTGTAAGGTATGGTTGAATTACTTAGCAAAAAAGAATGTAGCAGTCAAAGCTCCAGCTTTTTACCATGGAGAATAAGAAATATGATACGGTTGTTTCCAAAGCAACAAAAAGCTTTACCTGATTAAGTAGACTAAGGGCTCCTCATTAGATTGAAGTTATAACCAAATTGTCAAGGGCCCTCACAAAGGAAAAAGGTTCAGAGCTGTCATCACACAGAAATTTGCCTATTCAATTATAAGCTAATTGTACCAACATTTTTTCTTTAGGCATTCAGACTTCAGGACCAATGGTGAGCTTTCAAAAATGAAAATGATGGAAAAATCATCAAAATTACTGTAAACTGTACTGCCAAGTGAAGAAGTGTTTCCTGGTAGCATGTGCAGAGTTAAGGGAAATTATATTCCTGCATTACATAATCTACCAACAACCTATTTACCTCCTGTCTTATTTAACTAAGTTATTCTTGAAAGCAGAGCCTGCGACAAGAGTAGACACATTCAATTTGGGACTGTGATTGCAGAGAGCAGGAATGAGAGAGAGAGGGCTGAATGGGGCAGCGGGAAAAAAAGAAAATCCAAGGAAAAAACAGTGGTATCAAGTGGTCCACCAGTGTTATGGCTACTTCATGCAGAACCTTCTCAGGATTCTTATTAAAATTTGTCTCAGAACTGTCGGTTTAAGGGGTGAAAGAAGGCAGCATTCATCTCTCAGCAGCCATTTCCTACATGTTGAAGGCCACTTCTGTGTGGCATTAACACCCCCACCCCTATGGGTTGCAAAGACAGGAGGGCCTTGCAAAGACAGGCTACCATAGCATCACGATTGCCACCTCAGAGAAGCCATGGGACGGGAAGCTAGATACCTGGTATGTGCCTGACAGGAAGCACTGTCAGCACAGAGCAGGGTAAAACCCGCCCAGAACTGCTCACCAGAGCTGTGGCTGGAATCAGCAATTGAAGAGATGCAAGACAGTACACAAGAGGCATCTTATAAGCCTACAGAATGTACTATTCACCTGATCTAAATCTATGTTCTCCTTTCTTTCTGTAATCAAAATTTCAGTGTCCATAAGAAGGTTGGCAGAGGATTAAATACGAAGCTTAAATGTATTAGAAGATGTATGGTAATAACCATTTTAACCTTAAGTAATGTTATTCACTATACATATGAATAAGTGATGTTTATAAAAAATAGAAAGTGACACAGAACTTGGAAAATTAAGAAATGATTCTACTTAAAAAATTGGGCCATTGGATAGTTATATTATCTTTTAATCTCATGTAATCTCAGAAACAATTATGAATTGTTTGGAGGCAAATGGAAAAATAAAATTAGCCATTTGATATGTCTCTGTGAGCTTTGTAAGTCAATGTCAGTAACATTTCCTAAGATTGTCTTTAGCCATCACTGGTCATACAGAGCTTACAACCAATGCAGGGAAAATTGGGAGAAACAAAGGAAGGAAGAGTATTGGGATAATTTTCATCACATAGAGGGTTGGCACTAATATTAGTTGAAATGGAGGGGAACTGCATGCTTTGACTTGGGGATCCTTCTATGAGGCTCTGTCTTACCAGAAATAGTTTTGTCTCTACCTGCACCCCTGTGTTGTCATCATCCTCCTCTCTTATTTGATCTGGAATTGCCACCAACAGAATAAAGAACCTTGAGTTATTCAGTTTGATGTGTGTTGGGCTCCTACTATTTGCTGTTTTGGCACTATGCATATGAATAAAGCAAAATATAAAACATTACATCCAAAAATTTCAGAATGCATATTCTTTTAAGGTTCACCCTGAACATTTACCAAAATGGCCATATGATTGGTCACAAATCAAGTATCAACAAATTTCCAAAGACTGAAATCACACAGAGTGTAAATTAAACCAGAAATTAATTACATAAAGATTTTTTTAAATTCCCAAATGCTTGTAATTTAAGGATCATACTCCTGAATCAACCTATAAATCAGTCCATGAGTCAACCTAAAAGTCACAGTGGAATTTAGAGAATGTTTTGAAATTAATTCTAATGAAAATATAATGTATCAAAACTTATGGGAAGCTCTGAAAGCAAATGCTTATGGGAAATTTATAGCTCTAAATATGTAGATTGGATATTTTATTAAAAAATTGGCTATCAATGCTCCTAGGACCCAAGAAAAAAAATGCGTGTGAAGCAGCTTTTCAGACATTAGACAACTGGCAGCAAAGGACTGATCACTGAGCCCAGAAAACAAGAGGGCCCTACAATTGCCCTTTCTAGGTTTAAACACAAACAAGTTGCAGGAGGAGGACCTTATGCACAGCAGAGCAACCCGCTGAGTTAAGACAGACTGGAGGTGAGAGAGCAGATCGCTGAAACTACCAGCAAAGAGGAAGATGCAAAGAAAGAAGTTCCAGAAATCTGCATGCAGATCCCTTTATGTTTTTCTGAACACTAAGCTTAACAATTCCCAAAACTAGCACTAGATTGTGCTCAGACAGCAGAACAATTCCAAGAAAGTTTAAGGTCAGACTGATGATGAACCCTCAAGGCAAAGTTGCCCCTCAGAGGAGTCCCAGCCTCACAGAATGCCCTTGCACTAGTGTACCTGTTCTTTTCACTATTGCAATGGAACAGTTCCATGGATATGTAACCTTGGCATGAAAGTGTCAAGCTCCTGCTGGGGTCCTCAGTCAATAAACCTCCCTAAGCGCTAGCATGACTACTGTAGCCTACTCCTTGAGCTACCAGCTCTATTCAGCGAGCAAGTCCTCCATGATGCCTGTGGGTGCACCTGTCTTCCCAAGGAAAAACTTAAGAGCAGTGAGGTGAGTAGAATGACCTACATTCACTGTCACTGCAGTTGATCCAAGGGCTGCAAGTGGTCCTCATCCTCCCCTTTATCCAATATCCCATTTTGGATTCCCCTCACACTAAATGGTCACCTCAGCAGTTCTTGGTGGTTTACCTGGTGAAGTGATGCAAACTTTCATTCTGAGTGATCTGAGCACAGTAATAGTGCCCATCTTAGGCTGGGTTTGCCAGCTGTGTCTATCCGCAGTGACAGTGAGGCAAGGGAGCACCACAAGGTACAAGGGGATCCCTGGAGTCCACACATATCCCTCCCTGTCCCACTGTCCTGCTCATCATTCAATTACCCTGTGAATACCAGGAGTTCTCACCTGCATGTCCCTGGGCACAAGTAGTACAGTGTGCCCTAGTGGCCACAGTTTCTTATAGTTCAGTGTGGACTCTCACTGTAGCCCCCAACAAGACTATAAACAAAATATTACACCCAAAGGGGGTTTTTGAACCAGGGCTGCTAAGTTTACAGATGTCAAAGTTGCATGGTAGGAAGCACAAATGCTTCCAATAATTAGTCATCGAGAGTGTTGTAAATAAGAATACTCCCTTGCCACCATATTTGACTCTCATTATCCTCCTCTTGGAGACAGAACACCATAAAGTTCTGGCTTAATGAATATGCTGCATTCTGAAGGATGACAGCCCATCCTTTCAGAATGTTGCCTCAGCTCTTAACTTTAGCTGTGCCTTCTCCAGAAAACCATTCCACCATTCCACGAGGCTGGCTGCATGCATGAGGCTTCAGGGTGATGTAGCATGCGGCAAGACGAAGGCATCCCATGGTCATGGACCCACACTCACACCTTCAGCATCATAAAGTCGTCAGATACTGGGTAAGTCCTTTACAGCTGTACTGGCTGAGGCTCTGGAGGTAGGAAAGGCAATACCTGTACCAGGTTCTCTCCCTGGGAGGACAAACTACTGACCTTCCCAGAATGAAGAGGCCCATTATAGTCAGCCTGCCCCCAAGAGACGATTTAGTCTGGGAATAGTGCCATGTGGAGGGCTGTGTTGTCTATGTGGATGACAGGGTGGACTTCTAGATGCTACAGGGGCTAGGTCAGCCTTGATAAGCAGAAGTCCATGAGAGCTGGGCCCATCTAGGTCTGCTTCTGTAGCTACTCCATTCATAAGCCATCCTGCCAATTCAGGGTGTCTATAACAAAGCCTGGCTAATCTCAACTGGCCATTTTGTTTATTTGGTCGCTAAGTGCCCTTTCCATGATAGATGCTTCTTGATGGGTGTTAATGTGTGAAACAAAAATCTTCATACTCTGTGTCCACTCCCCTATGTCTGTTTACATACTTCTACACCAGACTTACTGGGCTCTAACTGTCTACTCCTTTTCCATCCACACCATTAGCCAGTGGCCAGGAAACAGAACATATTCTCATGTAGAACCATATCTTCTCTACACAAAATAGATGACCAGGTACACTGCTCATATGTGCCCTTTCCAATGTCCTTCAAGGCCACTCCTGGACATAGCTACAACACAGCCAACTGTTTCTGATCCTCTTTCTGACTGGGATTGAAAAGAGCAACTAGATTGATGGCCACACACTATTTATCTGGGCCCTTCTTAATGTCTAGTAATGAATGATACCACATCTGCAAAGCAGCTGCAAACAAGGCTGATACTAGGTTACACTTCAGTGGTCTACAATCATCTATACAGTTTCTTCAAAGCCCAAACTGGCAAATAAGTGGAGAAGACATGTGGACCACCAATGAGCTCCACCTCCCCCACTCCTGGCCAATTGTTTTTGGTCTCCTAACTTGGCTAGCAAAAAGGGGAGTTTTAGAGGTTTCCATTTGGCTTTCCTCACTATGATGGCTCTTGCCCTGTGAGTCAAAGCTTTATGTGTATGCTACGATCATATTCAATTATACCCTGAAGCACTGCAGACATGACCACTTGTGGATCCACAGACTTAGTGTGTCTGTTGTGAGCCAGACTTTAGTCAGCACCGTGGGGCCTGGTCTGCATGAGCCCCACTTTAATGGGGGCCAGGATGTTGTTTTGGGTTCCCAGGTATCAATGTCCACTCACACCCTATATCCAACAGTCCTTGAAATGTCTGCATAACACTCCTTTTCTCAGTGTACAATCACCAGGATAATTGCCCACATGTCCATTTGGAGGACAACTTGGTGATTCATCACAGTATATGCATGCACCTGTAGAGCAGCGTCCCTCTTCCCAGGGACCCAGACACCTTTTCTGCCTGTGGTTCCATAAGAAAATTGCCTCCAGTCTGGGAATTGTTTCATTAGAGACAATAAATGCAGCCTCTTCCTTTTCCATTTTTGCCTTACTGGTTATAGATCTTTAGCAACATTCTTGTTATCTGCTTATCTAGTTTAGCTACAGGGGTGTTAAGTTCAAGTAATCATCTTCTGAACACCCCCAGAATGCCCCTACAACTTCACCAGTTGTTTACAGTAATTATGGCTTCTTGGCTTTTGGTACTTCAGCACCAGTCCTCTATTACTTCAGGGCTCATGACTCCTGCATGACATTAACTAGCCCAGCTCTGTGACCACCTCACTCACAATCGGTCCTGGTCTAAAGAGGAAAGCCACCCCAGAACCGATGATGTTTGTACCTTCTCACAAGCATATTCTTGGTGGCCTTAGTCAATCATGTGTCTTCTGGGCCCTACTTTGGAAAGAAATCATGTGGTGGGTTTCTAGCCTCATAATATATTCAATCTAGCATGGCCTTCTCCCTCAGACTTTTTACTGCCTCTCCTACCATTTACCAGGACTACTTGGACATTTCACTTCACTCAGTATTGATGTCTAGGGACTTACCTTATCAGTGAATTTGTCCCACCCCCTGGGGTTCCTGCTAGGAAAATAACTCCTGTGTCCCAGTAAAGTACTGATAAATAAATAAGTTCTTGTTTTTCTAGTCTGATATTCTGGTTCCATAAATAAAGCACCATCAAAATCCCATCACAGGAATACCACCCTTGCTCCTGGTGGTACATGCTATTTCTTGCAACTCCTTTAGCACATAATCTTTTCCTTCCCTAATCTGACCCACACTTCTCAAGTGAGGTTATGCTAGATTTAACTAAGATCATGTGCCTGGCAGCCAGGAGAGAAGATGGAGGCATCCCATGAAGGGGTACCTACCTATTGCCTTGTAAAGAAAAGTCCTTTCTGGCATCTTCCACCACAGGGGAAGTCCATAGCTTTCTGCAAAGTACTATTCAAACCCACGTGACTGCACTGGTAAATTCTTCTGAACATTTAAGAAGAAAAAAAACACTAAGCTCACATAATTTTCTACTGAATAAGAAAACATAAATCATTCCCAGCTTGTTTTCGGAGACAAACATAATTTTAATACCAAAACCTGACAAGGACATTACAAAAGAGAAAAATTATAGATAGGGCCAACATGAAAGATAAGATTGTCCAATCAGATTCAAAGACTCACAGGCGTAAAGAGATTTTATCCATCATAAATTTTTCTCATAATCTCAAGAATACAAGCAATCAGGTGAACAGGTACAGCACAAAGAAGTTCAGAACAATATATGGCTTCCTGTGTTCTTCCTTCTTCCATTGAATGAGCTGTTTCAAGCTGGGAAGATACAGCCTCTAAGTGGGGTCACCTCACATAACATGTAGCATTTTAAATGATGACATTTCCCTATTTTATACCAGATAATTATGTAACTTACACGACATTTTCCTAAGAGCCATGCTCCATAAATTCATGGATTCTGGTTCTGTTTACCATAGTCAATCCTGGATCAAGGATTTAGCCAGTCAATCCTGGCTAAAAACACTTCACAGATAAGAACGCATCT